AGAACTTCCAGCTCTCATATTCAGTCCTGTGCTCGCATCCTCTGTATGTATTGGTTTATTCAACAATGGCATGAATTGTTTGAGAGATTACTGATAACAGCATTTTACCTTAATTGGAACGAAAATACTAACTATTTATATACCGGTAAAACCGCGTTGAAGTTAGGTTTCACATCCGGGCACTTGCTCCTATAGCCCCAGGGTTTCTTTTACCAACAAATCTTTCAATAGCCTCCTTGTCATACCCAATATTATTACTACACCGGATAAATGAAACACAGCTGTTTTATTATATATATTTATATATATTTTCTTCTAGTTTATTAAAAACAATAACAAGCTGTTTTTATTTCAAAATGTCTTATTTTAAATAGTTTTAATGTTATGTGACTTAATGACTCTAAATCAATGCAGCATTGTACCACTACAATGGCCACTCCTCTTTTCATAGGTTTTGTAATATTATAAGTGGCTTTTTTTGTTGTTGAAAGTATAAGCTTCCATGTCAAGTGTCTCAATGACTTCCAATCCTTACCAGATATTATGGATTGGACCATATTTGTCTCTGAAATGTAGTGGAGTAGAAGTATAAAGTCGCATAAAATGAAAACACACTCGTATAAGTACCTCACAGCTGCACTTAAGGATAGTACTGTACCTCCTTATTTTGTCAATGTAAAAGAGTTGGACTCCCAGCCCTGAAACTGTCCCAGATGATGGCTGCTGATGTTAGCACATGTAGTAGTAGTAGAACCTTTATTTAGCCAGGAAAATCAATTAAGAACCAATTCTTATTTTCAATGATGACCTGACAGGAGGCAAAAGGCTTCCTGAGGGGATGGGGGTTGGGAGGAAGAAAATAAAAAGACAGACTCCGGGCACTACAGAACCCAGGAGACAACACAATGACACAGAGCAGAGATGACAGGCATAGCAGTTAAACATATAACATATTTAAAATAATACTGCTGTGGTTCAATCAGTCATTAAAATAATATAGAACATTCATCCATTCAATCATTCATTCATTCATTCATTCATCCATTCATTCATTCATTCATCCATTCATTCATTCATGGCAATTCATACTATTGGAGAGGTCAATACATTGGTAGTGAGCATCAGGCAAAGCAGCTGCATGTGTGTACCAGAGTGTTTGTAATAGTGTCCCTGAAGGTGCGGGGGGAGATAAAGGTCTTCATTTTCAAGGTTTTTTGTATGATATTCCAGCTATCAGCTGCTGCAAACTGAAAGGCGGAGCGGCCAAAGGATGTATGGGCTTTGGGGATCTTTAGCAGGATGTTTGTAGCTGACCGGGTGTTGTGCGTCGGGGGTGGGCGGAGTTGCAGCAATTGTGTGAGGTAGAAGGGGGTGAGGCCTAGGAGTGTTTTATAAACAAGCATCAGCCAGTGGATGTTGCGCCTGGTCTCAAGAGAGGGCCAGTTTGCCACATCTTCACCTGCTTCAACCAGATCTAACATGGCTTTTCACACAGTTCAGCATTAACTCATGTTATCACTGATCTTAGCTGCTAAGCTCTGTTTCACCAGCATGGCTCTTCTCTCAGCAAGGGTCTGTTTGCTCGAGGCTGAGTTCAGAATAGTTCTCTACAGACTTGAATTTTGGAATAAAACTTTTAGCACACTATTCAAGGCAGACCACTATAGTAAGATGAGTACTTCTTGAGTTAAAAGACCAACATGTAAAGTCTACAAGATGAAGGAGAGACTAGAGAGACACCGTGTGACAGTCGAAGGAAATTCACTGACAGCTAACGGCTCAGAGAGAAACAAGGAAATTACCAGCCTTTGTTTTTCCTCTTTAGTCGATGTCTCATTTAATTTCACTGGCCTGTTTTCAATTTAGACAGCTAGACTGTTTAAGTCATGTTTTGGTCACAGATTGCAGTGAAAATAATCAAAAAAGGCAAATATAGTAAGAGCACGTCTCCCTGTATCCACTCCTCCTCTCTTCCCCTCTCTCTCTCTCTCTCGCTCTACATTTGGGTTATGCCCCATCTAGTGGTGAGTTTCATACAGCTCCTGGTAAAAGAACAACCCCACCACTTATTTCCCTTTGGTTTTTACATCTTTTGTTGTTGTTTTTTTTACATCACTTCCTTGTAGCTGAGAAACCAAAAATCATCCATTGTCACTGCAGGGTTGCCTTTTTACCAAGTCTGCATGACAGATACTGGTGGTAGAGGACGGGTACACAAAAGATGTGTGACAAGGAGAAATGGGTTTGTTGTGAAGAGTATTGATTGTACACAAAGAGGGTATATTAAACAGACCCCCTGGTTTACTGTGTGACAATTGGTTTGTTGTAACTTGATTAATTGCACATTTACTAAAACTAGTGATAGGTCTATTTTAATACAGCACTGCATGCACTGTAATGATTTGTCCTGTCTCCTTGGAAAATACTAAATCCAGCATCTTCATTATGTGCAAAAAATGCATTCTTAAGTTCAGTTGAGGCAAATATGATTACTCAGCGATTTAATCAAACTTTCAGTGTTTTTATTATACAATCCCCTCTTTTTGTTTCCACAGAGAGTGTCATTGTGCTGATCTGGAGCGTAAGCACAGTAACACAAAGGGAAGGAAGTGCAGCAGCTGCTTCAAAATACATATGGACATGTGAGTATAGCTTTAAGATCGATTAAATAAATGTGAAAATATTCTGTAAGGTAGGCCCTTTATTTTTATACTACCATTTTGTATAAGGGCCAATGCCCGCAAATCAAGATGTTTTTCTGTATTTCATCTTTAATATTGTGCATATTCCCTAATTCCACGGGTCTTTGTCGTTGTAGTTCTTGTATCAGTTGTTTATATTTGAGGGCTTAAATTGATGTGATTTGTACAGGAAGTTATATTACTTCACTCTTCTGTTTGTAAATAATTCTCTATCCCGCAACTTACGCAATATATAGTTTTATTTGTTATTGTTGTCTGTGAGCTTATGTAATGCCGGCTGCTAGTGCTTATTATAAAATTCTTCATTTTTTTAACAGTAATAAACCAATATCTCAAACAATGCTGTGTTGGGTCCTTTACATTTGAGGGAATTGGGCCTGGAGATCCTTAAAAATCTGGGTGTGAAGAGCAAAACAGTTGTAGAAATATCACTGAAGCATTCAAGCATGGGGGAATCAGCTACTGAATTAGTCAGCTGTCTGCGAAGGTCAAACTACCAACTAGCCAGTTAGCCATCCATCTCAGAGCTCTTCCCGCTCTCTCCACAATTCACCTACAAGAAAAATATTTGTTTGGAAAAAGTTAGTCTTAGTCAAATGACCATATCCTAACTGACGCACATCAATGATAGTGGCCCATAAAGGGAGATACAGAAGGTAAAAGCTTAAAGGGGCCCTATTATGCTTTTTGGGGTTTTCTCATGAGGTATGTTACATAGGTTTTAGTGCTTGTAAATGGGCTGCAAAGGCTAAAATGCCAAAGTTCACACAAGTTCACTGCCTATAACGCCTCTATTGAACTCCTTTGTATACTTTCAAAACATAATGACATCACCATGTAACACTCGTGCTTCTATTGGCTAGCGTTCCAACACATTTTTATGTGATAGGCTAAGGGGCGGGACATCTCTAAGCTGTGGACCAATTACAACAGAGCCAGCCAGCTAACCAATCAGAGCAGACTGGGCTCTGGTTTCAAACAGAGGATGAAAAGGGGTGCTGCAGCACAGGCAGTATGAGAAAAATAAAGAGCATTTTTGAACATTAAAACATGTAAACATGTCACAGTAGGGTCACACAATACAAATATGAACCTGACAATAAGCATAATAGGGCCCCTTTAATTGTTCCCAGAGAACCTTTAAAGAAGTCAGGGCTGGACAGCAGCCTTTTTTTGTCCGGCAGTGGCTCAGTCAGTAGGGGCTTGGACTGGGAGCCGTAGGGTCGCTGATTCAAGTCCCCGACCAGACCTAAATATGGAGTGTGGACTTCTACTTGGAGAGGTCCCAGTTCACCTCCTGCCCTGCCGTGGTGCCCTTGAGCAAGGCACCGGACACCCCCCTTCCCCCCCACTCCCATTGCTCCCCGGGCGCTGTACAATAGCTGCCCACTGCTCCTAGTACTAGACTCCTTGTACTAGGATGGGTTAAAAGCAGAGGCCAAATTTCACTGTGTGTGCTGTGTGCTCTGCATGTGTGACCATTAAAGAGGGTTTCATCCCTCCCTATTCTATTCTATTTAAAAGCATGAGCAGCCTGAGGAGCTCTCCAGTGCTGAAAACAACAATACTTTCCTAACTGTGAGTGTAATGTACGGTTTATACAGTGTCACAAAATGACCTTTAATCAGTTTTATGATACAAGAGATAAGAGATCTCCAGAGACTGATGGGTGATTGCTTGTGATTGGCTTGTCTCTGTGTGTGTCCACGCTCGTGTATGATGGTGACGTGTTCCAGATTAATGGGTCGGTTTATAATTAGCTTCATGAAGTATTTCTGGAGTGGCCCATTTGTGACTCTGCCCCTGCAGGAGTCATATTCTTGGTTTCTCACTGCCACCTAGTGGATTTCAGATGTTTCGTCCTTTCATTGTGTCATTATGCCTTATAGGTTACATCTTCACCTTTCAAAAAATCACCCTGTCTGGACAAAAAGTATCTGAAAATAAGATTTATTATGGTGCAAATTCTAGATTTGGCAATGGGAAATAGCGTTTAAATGATCTGTCAGCGTTTTAATCTCAGTTCATTATGTGGGGTTGCAAACTAATTATCATGATTGGAATGGGAGAAATAATTAAATAATATAATTAATGGAGTATTAAGGCACGTGATTGTGTCTTTATTGTTGTGCTCTTGTTTGTTTCCCCACAAAGAACAAAACCAGCGACCCTCTCCCCCTCCCCTCCTCGATCCTGATCCCTCCTCACGTAATGTGTTGCTCATATCATCAAACTTCAAGTCCGTGACCAGGATTCAGACCAGAGCTATATAGATACGAAGACAATCATCACTTCCAAAAGAAAAGTCACACTTCAGGGGCCAAGAGCGGCGCCATTCAGTATCAAACCTGCGGACTGCCTGCAGAAACAGATCAGATATGCAGCACCGGTGGAGGTAGTGCCATACTCGCAGTGACTCATTCGTGCGCAATGACAATAAACACACGGCTTGATTTGAATGTCAGCAAATCAAACCTACTCCAACAAAAGGAAGGTCACCTTGCGTAAGGGTCCAGCAGTGATTGAAGCTCGGGTCTATTTTTTCTTCCTCTGCTGCTCGGAGTGTTGCCTCAGAGCGCAGCCGTTTCTCCTTCAGGACTTAATTTGGTGGTAAATTCACTTTTTCTGGACTGCACCTGTTCACCTGGAGACACGTAATCCCGGTAAGTAGCTTTATTCATGTATGCTGTCTTTCAAGTCTAAACTCAACGAACTATTTCTTAATTGTCCTTGGTGATGCTCTAACAGGTGTTTTAAAAGGTTTACTGTCTGCAAAAATAATAGCTTTAAGTGATATAGTCGGCCTTTAGTTCGTGTAGGAATTTCACTTTCTGCAAATATTTAATTGCTCCATTTAATTGTTCTCATTGAGTCTTTAATAACCGATTGGTGGTTTGTAAAGAGGGATGCAGGATGTCTTTTTTCTGTGGGTGACTTGAATCTGCATCACGATAAACAATGCAAATAATCTCTTTAAGATGATATTTCTCATGCAAGTTTGTAGATTCAACGCCAGGCTAGCTATAGGCCATATTAATTTGAGTAAAATAAAAAATACTATTATTTTTGTAGGCTGCTAATTGCCTTTTTGCCTTATCTCCACATGTTTAATATGTCTGTATTTCATAGCTATAGAACAATTAGTGCCGTGCTATTTATTTTGAGGACAGGCATGAAGCTGTCTGGCGGCTGTTAACCGTCATCCATCCTGAGCAGGATCAAGATATGAGGCTGAAATAACCTGCTGATGGCTATTAACTAGAGGGGTTTCTTTTGTCTGTCAGCAGTTATAGATGAACTTGTCATTTTAGATTAAAAAAATTGTTTTATTCTGTATCCTGAGACGACTAATTGAATCTCAACTTGCAAGACAGACTGTGTCCTTGTAGGTCTGGTTCGCCAACTTGAGCATCTCTTTTAATGTAAAAAAAAAAGCATAAAGAAGAAATAGGCACATATTTAAAAAGCCTACTGTTTATTTTATATGGGATTTTTCTCTTTCCCTGTCAGTGAGACTTTCGTATTGGATGGTATAAAGACAGCTTTTTGGGGGCATTATAGAAAAAACAAAAGTCCCAGGCTTTTTGAGGTGAGGACTTTGGCTCTGATGGCGGCGTCTGCACCCTCCTCCTCTGCCGGCGAGTCGGATCCCAACTCGACAAATTTACGACCACCGGGCACAAGTAGGTCCATGACAGATAATATGCTATTTCACGTGTGCTATTTACTTTGTCGGAAATGCCATTAATCATTTTCATCGAGGGAGAAAAAGGAGGGAGAAAAAAAAGAGTGTGCTGTCTTTTGAGAAGGCTTCCTCTGCCACAAATCACCGCTGCATTTCATTCACCATCCCGACCTCCCGGCTGCTGCTGACAGACGAATGCTGCTGTCAGAAGCTGATACCCTCCACTAGCAGTACACTGAGGCAATTAGCCTGCAAACAAGCCCGAGGCTGCAGCACCGGAACATCAGATCACAAAGGCAAAAATATATTAATTTTTTTGCTGCAAAAATTACAATATTATTATTACTGTGATTTTTTATTATTATTAGTATTATTATTATTATTATTATTATTATTTAAAACTGGGGTGGTGTGTTAATGCATTATTTTTTTATTTTTTTATTTGGTTTGCCTAAATTCGCCTTGGCTGAATAAAGTGCCTGCATGAAAAAAAATGGAAAAAGAAAATTGCCCCTGAAGTGTCTGTTAATTCAGCCATATTAAAGTGGCCCTAATGGTACACTTAAGCTTTGCAGCCTTCGAGAAGGGGCTCTGTAGAAACCCTGCAGCCACCACAGTCCTTTCATTGTGAGCTGGTATAAAAGAAGAAGCCTGCTCCTCATGAATAGAGGGCTAAAATCATGTTACAGATGCATGGTGCTCCTGACACAAATATAAGAAAAATAAAAATCCAATCCACTCAAATGTCTGCAGTGAAAACATGAGCTATTTTTTCTCTCTAATGACATTATTATTGTACGGTTTTGCTTCGTCAATCAGTGAGTGTCTTGTGAAAAGCAGAGATTTTATCATGTTAGGCCCATGCGTAAATTGCCTGTATCTAGCCTTCGAGCTGCACCTCTGAAAATGTCTGAATGCCTTTTTGTCAGCACATCTGCTCGTGTTTCTTTTCTTCTTTTTTCCGTTTTTAGCGGTCCCTTTGTTGCCCATCTCATTTCCCCTGGCTTGGGAGAAATCATTGAGGGGACTGAGTTTAAGTGCGTCCAATGAGCTGAGCAGGGCAATGATTTATCTAATGATCCAAAGCAAGGGGTTAAATTGGGATGTGGGAATGGGGCTGCACCCCTCCCCACACACACACCCACTCCCACCCCTCCTCCCTTAAATTGCTGCTTTTGAGGATGTTGGTCTATGCCTCCACCCAAGGTGCCCCATCCCCTCTGTGGCTGGTAGCCCTTGATAACGCAGTAATTCTCTATCTGTCAGCGGCCAGCCGGCTCATGTCTACTGAAGCTCGCATTTTAACCAGCATCTATCTATTCACTCAATTAGATATTTAGCCTGGCGTGGATCCAAAGGGATAATGAATTTGAAGTCCTCGCCTAGGTCATAAACGGTGACATACAGTGGAAATAGGCTAATCCAGATCCAGGGGCCGGGGGAGGGCCGGTTTAATGTTAAAACAATCCCAAGACTCTCATGCTGGCTATTTTAGTTTCAGTTTGCGACATCACTCCACCTCATATACCTTTCTCCATTCATGTCCACGATTTAAGTGTTTGAGATAAAAATGTACACCTAAATTGGATTTCTTTTTTTTCAAGCAAATGTGGGGCCCTCTAATTGTTCTTAAAAAATAATTTTAGGCTATGATGCTTGGTGTGGAGTTGCCCATGGATGTACTAGAAAATTGGGAATGAAGATATGTGGTAAGTTGCTGATTTTTTCTTGTAAGAAATATGTGTCAGGAAAATATCAAATATGACTTTTCAGAAAGCCTGTAGGCTATGGCCTGCATAATTTTATTACAATGGAAACAAACTCCTGGGCGAACAGGATTGATTTTTAATATCATACAAGCAAGGATTAACCACTTAGATTAACCAATATTGTTTAGTTTATTCCATTACATCTGGATTTACTAATTTAACCATAATGTAGAAAAGGCGAGGTGCACCTGTCGACACTATCAATGTATTCTTGAGCCAATGCTGATTAAATTGAAAAGGGAATATTCGAAGATAGATTTTCTGATTTACACTTTGGAGTGTTTTCCAGTCTAACACAACCCACTAACCCAGGGCGGACTGACATCCCATAATGGTGAATGTCACGCACCAGCGCGCGGTACCATTTTCTAGTATTTTTGACCGACACGTTCTGATGGTTTCATTAAGGCTATTTAATTACCCAGCACCGTAGAAAGCTACACAATACAATAGGGAGATACAAAAAACAAAGCTGTATTCTGGTAGGATTAATTTCAGGGTCTAAACAGCAGGATTAATGTCTTTAAATAAACGGGTTGTAACATTTTCAGATGAGATTTCTGTCAAATACATGTGGAGTATATTCTCTGCATGCTTTATTTATCAATGAATATCTTTTGTAAAATCTACGTCTGGTTTGTTTTTGATCGTGTATTTCGCTCCTGTGACAGGAGTTTGAGTAAGAATTTACAGCCGCTACATGACAGCCATTTGTTTTTGCATGGTTGGAGTTTGATGCTGATGTCACCAGGCTCAACCTCCCACTGAGCCCTCCGCCCATAAATAGGATTCCCTGGGCAGCATGGAACCCTATTTATAAAATAAAGAGCGAGTAAGAACAGTAGCTCCCTGGAGAAAGACGAAGAGGAGATAAAAGTCACAGATTGGAAATTATTAGTAATTCCAGGTAATCAACAAGCTGCAGCTGTCAACATGTATGGGGAGTGTAACCACCCTGCGGACTCCTCTGCTTCTTGTAATCGTTTAGGGTTTTTGCAGAAGAACAACAGTCTGGAGGAGAGGGGCAGAATGGGGAGCTCCTTCAAAGAGCGAGCAAGCAAGAACCTGCTGTCCTGCGATAACACCGGAGGAGACGCGCACTTCAGACGCACGGAGAACGACTTCTCCAACATGTACGCCAGAGGTAAGATGAGGAAGATCGCAGTGTGTTTGATATTTGAAAATAATTGCAATTTATTTGAATTACAACGCATTACACTTAAGGAAAGATATGTGTGGATATTCTAATCTGGATTATAATAATGTAAAATAGATAATAAATACAAGTAAATCATATGCTGATTAAATATTGCTAATGGCAACATAACTAACATAATAATAGGACTGCATTTGTTGGTGGTTATTAATTATTCAATGCTGCTTCAAACCCAACTGTTTGGTACCAAAAATAAAGCTAAAATCAACTTGCTGAGTTGAGACCCAGAGGTCACAGGAAAGTAAATGGTTAAAAAAAATGAACCTGGAAAAACTCAACATATGTGCAAATCTTTATACTTAGGTGAGGAGACACAAACAAATATCAATTAAATGTATGTTTTTTTATTTTGTAGATCTGTTGCCGGCCAAAAATGGAGAGGAGCCCACCATGCAGTTCTTGCTGGAGGTTGTGGAAATCCTTACCACCTACGTAAGGAAGACCTTTGACAGATCCACCAAGGTCCTGGACTTCCACCACCCCCACCAGCTGCTGGAGGGCATGGAGGGCTTCAACCTGGAGCTCTCTGACCAGCCCGAGTCCCTGGAGCAGATCCTGGTGGACTGCAGGGACACCTTGAAGTACGGAGTGAGAACAGGTGAGAACGAAAGAGGCCTGAAGGCGCGCAGCATGGCCTGCGGCAATCAATAACTCCTATTAGCCAGTGTAATGATTATAAGCCATTTTCTCTCTCTCATTCTCAAGTGATTCATTGTTTTCTGGGGATTATGTTGCTTTGTTTTCTCTTTATCAATCGTAGGTCACCCTAGGTTCTTCAACCAGCTCTCCACTGGATTAGACATCGTAGGGTTGGCAGGAGAGTGGCTTACCTCCACAGCCAACACCAACATGTGAGTACTGGGATAACGTCTCATTTATTAGTTGATTTCTTTAAATAAATTGTTCATTGCAGAAACGCATTAATGAGGATAATATTCAAGATTTAAGGAGTAAGAATTAGATCCAGTTTGAAAGTCAATAGGTTAATTTCATGCTAATATCCATTGCCTTTCTCCATTGCCCGTGGAGAAAGGCTTTCAGTTGGAGGAACACTTGAAGTGACATGCAGTAATTACCGTCTCTGGCTGCAGAGTAATAGATTGTCAATCAAGCAGCAAACTAAAAATACATTTATAGAGCTACTCCCCCACGGTGTTGTCATTGTTGCCCTCTGCCCAGGCTGTGGTCACATAACTCAGCCCTGCAGGCAAACTAAATTACATATTGATTCGCATTAACAGTTTACATGGTGTCTTTGTCTCATCGGAAGCTATAGTTCTTGTGACATAACAAAGCCAGGAAGGGGAAAGAGCCTCTCCCCCTCAGACCATCTGCACACAGCCCTCAGTGGGAATCAGTGAGGAGTTTTTCCATGCATTAAGACATTTAGGTTTAGTTTTCCTGAATCTGTGTCTGAGGGGTTTGACTCCATCTGTGTTGTTATCCTCTGTACTATCTGATACTCTAATTTATAGCTCAACATATGATTACATTTAAAACGGCACAAATCATGTACAGAGCAAGACATAATCTACTTCCTAGGAAATTAAAAACATTGTTCATAGACCGAGAGGGTGGGTATCATTTGAGAGGAAATCTACATTTGAAACAACTCAAGGTCAGAACAACTCTGAGAAGTATGTGTATAACAATCTGTGGGGTGATTTTATGGAATGGTTTGGAGCAGGAGTTAAAACAAAACACAAGCATAATTCAGTTTAAAAGGATGTACAGAAACACTTTTTTGGAAAACTATGAGAATGAAGAGAGGTGATTGAAGATGAGAAATTATTGTATATGTATGTATAAATGTAAATGTAAGTAGGAATAACTTGCACAATGACTTAAAGGACAATCATTGATCAAGTAAGGGGTGGGAATTAATAAGCATTTGCTTCCTCCTACTCTCTTTCGGACACATATGATTTATTTTTTTATTTTTAATTATTATTATTATTATTATTAATATGAAGATTCTTTTTGTTGAATATATAAATATTATCGTGAATGTGGATAAATACTGTATTTTAACAATACGGTATTCTGTTTTTTCACATTTGTTATTTTTTATTTGTTATTTTTTAATCTGTTCGAAATAAAGATTGAAATGAAATGAAATGAATGATGAAAAAACGTAATTTCCTTACCTTACCATAAGTCCCAGGTTTGATTCTAGCTCATTTCCATTTGTGTAAACTACTAAATAAAGGTAATATGCTGATATTTAGTGGGGTCGTATGCAGCTTGAGGAAATGTTTTTTATCATTACTGCTTGTGCACTTATGTGGGTTGAATACAATATGCAGTACAGTACAGATAATATCAATTAAACTAGATGGATACTGGGAGAAAGCAAACCTTCACAGAGGCCATTTCCATGAGTGAATAATAATCTGTGTATCAGCCCCATCATTCGTTTCCACTCTGAAACGTAATGCTTTTTTCCTTTGCCCATGCTACACGCTCCTACCGGGTTTCATGAAAACTGGGATCATAGTTTTTCTGTATCTTTCTGACAAAAAGACAAATAACAAACAAACCTAACCAGAAATATAACCTTTGAAGGAGAGTTCAAATGTAAAAACATGTAAATGGTTATCTGTGGATAGATTTCTGTACCAGTAACAATGTGCTCTTTATAGTGGGTTTATAAATTATAACTGATATTAAAAACAGTCCTTGAACATGTTTTAATAGCCCCGTTCATACTGGTACAGCCACCAGTCTTTCTTTCTCAGCTTGTGTGTTATTGGCAACATCAGCGAGGATGTCTTGAACCAGAGGGTGGAGGTTGCTTACATATTTGTAATTTACCTTTATTAATTACTCCATCAACCCTAATTACCCCTGGCAGATATTGACTGACACTAATAGAGTGACAATCACTTCCAGGTCTTACATAATCAGAATCGGAGAGTGTCGCCTGCATGAATGAATGCGGTGAAATTAATGTGCGACATCTGCGAAGTGGCATATGACTTGTTTATTTTTCCCTCTCCGTATTCCTGTGGGTATTCTGAAGATGCTGAGGGGCACAATGCGACATCCTGCAATCTTCCACTGATTCGTTAACTTTCTTTGCTTGAATAGACAGATACTTATGTAATTAGAAGAATATTGGTCAGGAGAAGATGGACGAGCCTCCCTGTGCTGTGAATCCAAATCGACTGTGCTCTTCTCTGAGGCAGAGGGGTTTAATGTACTTTGATTAGACAGGAAATAAATGTGTACTTCAGAGGACAAGACATGGGAAAACAATTCCTACAATGAGAAAGTTAAAGGCATGTGAAAGAACTTTGTAATTATTGTATTTCCTTTGTTTCTAGGGTAGTCCTATTAAAATGGCATTGTTCACGTTTTGAATATTCTCACATTCTATTCACACATTTTGTTTCCATGCTTCTGCAGAAACACAATCCTGATGCTCTGTCAATGAGCCTGTGTGGCATTTGTTGTATCATTTCACTGCAGCAGAAGGCCATTTCTAACACAAGATGGTGTTGTTATCGAAGTGTGACCATTTGCATAATGTTGTATCTGTTCCTTTTCTATTGAGCCAGCAGCATGCTCAGTAGCCATGCTGTAAAATTAAATTACACAAACACATAATGTTAAAAACCAGCATATTTCCTATCTTTATTGATCTCAGTCTCTCCTGCTCACTTATAAAATAAGAATAAAACACCAGAGAGAAAAATAGTATTTATTCAGTGTTGCCTAATTAAAACGCAACAATCCAAAAGCTAAAAGTGGATCTGTGAGTTCCATCCGCCTTTCATTAAATATACAAATGTGTTTTTTTGGTTGGTTTCAGGTTTACCTACGAGATCGCCCCTGTCTTTGTGCTCATGGAGCAGCTGACTCTGAAAAAGATGAGAGAGATGGTCGGCTGGCCGAATGGAGAGGGCGATGGGATATTTTCTCCAGGTGAGAAAGTTCCTCAATAATCCTGAGGCAATCTTTTGTTATCGTTCCAGACTGAAACAGATACCACCAGATGTTTAGGTATGTTTGTTTATTAGCTATGCTTCTGAATTTCTAGTTTGACTTCTAAAATATCTCATGTGGTTGTCATCAAGTGTTGCCATCAAAATGTAATAAATTAGGGATAGCTTGATAGATAATTATTTTACTAATGTAATGACAGCTAAGGCAATTATTTGAATCTGGCCATTATCGGACCAAGTATTGGATCAACGCATCTCTGTAATCAAGTTCTAAATATGGAAAATAGGGAATTTCAATGATATATAGAGTGTTTGGATGAATGTGTATGCACATTACTTTAATGTTGCAGCTATTAAAAGCGGGGCTAGTTTTAAGCCTTATAAACGGCTGTGCAGCCTCCTCTATAATTACGCTTCATATTGTATTAGCTGAATGCATTTCATTTGAATAATCTGCAGGAACTAGAAACTGAAATAAATGTAGTGGAGCAAAACTTTTCCCTCAGAAATATGTGTTGTGTAAAGGACCTTTAAATGGAGTTATGCAAGTACAAGTAACTAACAAGTAACTGTATTTAGTTATTACCGTCCTAACTTCCTACCTCTGTTTGTGTCTACAGGAGGAGCAATCTCCAACATGTACAGTGTGATGATTGCAAGATACAAATACTTCCCTGAAGTCAAGACCAAAGGCATGTCAGCTGCCCCAAGGCTGGTCCTCTTCACCTCAGAGCACGTAAGTCTAAAACTGTCTTTGTATACCTGTATCACAAAGTTTGAATATGTAAGGGTTAATCCAGCCTGAACTGACTGATCAAACATTGCTTCTTGCAGAGCCACTATTCCATCAAGAAGGCCTGTGCAGCTCTGGGCTTCGGGACAGAGAACCTGATCCTTCTGAGCACAGATGAGAGGTTTGCTTTATACTGAACCCACAAGTCTGGTAGAATATCAAATACCTGGATTCATTTACAACTGTTTTGTTCTTCTTCTTCTCCAGAGGGCGAGTCATTCCTGCCGATCTGGAAGCAAAAGTAATAGAGGCCAAGCAGAAGGTAAATGTCAACAGCTGTGTCTCAGACATGGTGCTCTTTGTATCAGTGACTCCATGCAATGAGAAACACCCTGATCCATGGAGTTTACTTGTACCAAAGGAAACACTTGTGTGTGCCAGAGCAGTGAGGATTTGTCAGTAAGGTTAATGCTTCTGTCTGCTCACATGTGATGTTCCCTGGGTCTAAAGTACCATCCTGGAAGTCATCCTTCAAAGGCAAAGTGATTCACAGACTAGAATACATGGGAAGGGGCCAGACAGGAAGAGTGCATTATTTGTGAAATGTGTTTTAGTCTGTGTCTTTGATGTCAACAATCACAGGGAGAGGATCAACATAATTACTTGAATTCAGCCAAAAATGTAATGTTTTTTTTCTCTCCGATGCTCCCTCTTTGCAGGGCTGTGTGCCGATGTTTGTGAATGCCACTGCTGGTACCACCGTCTACGGAGCCTTTGATCCCATCAATGAAATTGCAGACATCTGTGAAAAGTACAACATGTGGCTTCACGTGGACGTAAGATGATATTGATATTATGAAATGATGAGCTGTGTGGACATTTGCATCCTTGTTGTTATAAATGTGTTGCGTCCTGTGCAGGGTGCATGGGGAGGAGGTCTGCTGATGTCCAGGAAACACAGACACAAGCTGAATGGAGTGGAGAGGTAAAATAACTCAATGAGTGAACATTTTAAATGATGATTTATGCAGTACAGGAATACAAGGGTGGGATATTTGACTCATGACGTTCAGTTTTATTGTCACAGAGAGCAAAACTCAGGTTGTGAAGTGTTAGTAACTTCCTCTGTGGGTCTGGACTGGATAACCTTTAGATCACCAGGGATATTTTTTGGCTGATGGTGTGACGATATTTGGTCATTTAATCTGAGATGTATCAGAGTACTATTTTGCATTTGGAGTAATGTCCTACTAATTCAATAGGAAACTGTTACTTCAATCTATTTTATGTTTTACCCTTTACTTAAAGGTGGGGTAGGTAAGTTTGAGAAACCGGCTCGAGATACACTTTTTGTTATATTCCATGGAATGCTCTTAACATCCCGATAGCAATGAATATCTTAAGTGCTTTGACAAGAAATCCATTAAAAAATGTCATCTGTGGAAGCCGTAGTACTGTAAAAAGCACGACCAATCATTTTAGCCGGCCCGGCTAAAATAACTGGATGGCCTACCTGCCTGTCAGCCTTCCATCTGTGCACAAACCTATCTTGTGCCCTCATTGGTCATGTGCGCGTTCGTGTGTGTTGGAGGAGGGGCTCTGTAAGGAAGTGGCAGATTTTTTCCGGCTGTGTATTTTCAAATTCTAGCGCACTCGAGCTGGTTTCTCCAAAATTACATACCCCACCTTTAAATCATATAGAAATATGATACGTTATTTCTTTCTTCTTCAAAGTCAGGATATCTTCCACTCACCTACTTTGATTTCGACAAAGCTTTTTTTGATCATTCTCCATTTATAGCCTTTAAAACATAGCAGACAGCAGATCAATTACAGGGAATGGGAGGAGTCAAATAGGGAACTCAAAATACAACAAAAGTGGCTAATCATGGCACCCCAATCTACCCTCCTTCATGGAAGTTGAATACTAAATTGTTTACTAAATCTGGTTTATGATCTTAGTAGGGGTAAACCTGGACATGATTACAGATGTCTAATACTCTTTCAAAGGACTCATGTCCACAGTTATTTCAATAAAACTGAACTTTTTGTTCCCAGACTTGACACACACACAATCACAGCGCTTTGTTTACTGTTTCAATATCTGTGCAGGGCCAACTCAGTCACCTGGAACCCCCATAAAATGATGGGTGTGCCGCTGCAGTGCTCTGCCGTTCTGGTCAGAGAGAAGGTGAGACACACAATATCACCCCTCCACCAGCACGATCGATAAGCTGACTGTTTTCTGCCGATGTTTAGTAACCTCAGTGTTTCTTTCACCACCACTGTGTCCATTGCAGGGATTATTACAAGGCTGCAACTCCATGTGTGCTGGTTACCTCTTCCAGCCAGATAAACAGTACGATACTTCATACGACACGGGCGACAAGGCCATTCAGTGTGGGCGGCATGTGGATATCTTCAAGTTCTGGCTCATGTGGAAGGCAAAGGTGTGACTTAAAACAAATTGAAAGCCTCTACTAACACCGCTGCCATATCTAGAATGTGATGGTAACAACTCCTTTCTTTTTAATCTACCCAAAAGGGAACTGTGGGATTTGAGCAGCATATTGACAAGTGCCTGGATCTGTCAGCGTACCTCTACGATAAAATAAAAAACAGAGAGGGCTACGAGTTGGTGTCCGAAGGAGAGGTAAGATCATTTAAGCACATTTTTAAATGCAAACATATTGACTGAGAATTCATTTGATACTTAAGATGCAGCAAAAAGGACACCTATCTGTACTCTTCTTACTGTGTCTGGGGTTTTCCTCTCCACAGAACACTTGATTTTCTTCTGTAATAAACGACTGCATCAATGTACCTCATATCTTAACTTGCTTTTAGGATTGATTTGACCATTTTGCATTGCTGACAAGCAGACAAGAAAAGCTGAAATTACAGAAGGCTGTGTTTATCTCCGCTCATTACAAATGTTGTTACCATTTTCTCTTATCAGCCGCAGCACACTAATGTGTGTTTCTGGTATATTCCGCCGGGCCTGCGCGGCCTGCCTGATGGCCAGGAGAGGCAAGAGAGGTTGCACAAGGTAATGACTCATCAATCTGCTTTTCAAGATAAGTTTTAACTGCCCCTGCCCACTTAGGTTGAGTCATAGTGTATTTTGGATGTAGGGATTCACAAAGTAAAGTAATGGACATCTTGTGTGTGCATATGCTTGTTTTTTGCAGTTAGGATGGTAATATTGCAGTGTTGTAAAGTAACTAAGTACATTTACTCATATCAACCCTTAAATAAGACTTAGTTACACCTGGAGTTAAATTCACAAGCTACCTTGCAGCATACAAAGTAAATAGAACATGCTCCACCTTTACCAGCTTTTATAACACTTGAATGCATCGATACTTCTAATCAAAACAAAATATAGTTATAAATATATAATTAATATTATTCTGAAATGGGCCAATATGCATAAAGAGTACTTTTACTTTTTGTGTATTTTGATGATAATACTACTTGAGTAACATTTTATTTGCATGACTTTTACTTGTTACAGAGTTACTTAAGTGTGATACTTTGTGTTTTCCCTGCAACAGGTGGCCCCAAAGATCAAAGCGATGATGATGGAGTCTGGGACTACGATGGTGGGTTACCAGCCTCAAGGAGACAAGGTCAACTTTTTCCGCATGGTGATCTCAAACCACGCCGCTACCAGGTCAGACATCGACTTCCTGATCGAGGAGATCGAGCGACTCGGGCTCGACTTGTAAGACCGACACATAAACTCCTTTTTCCGCCACATGTTTCCGACCGGAGAGCGTTGAGCTTGGCTTCATGTCCCTTCTGTCTCATAAAGACGTTGACATTTTTGCTTACAGATCTTCTCTGGCAATGCACAAGAAATAATAAGCCCTGTGTGTTCTCTGTCTCTTTTGTCAATGACACATATTCAAAACATTTGCACAAAAGGATATCTGAGAAAAGAAACTCCAAACGGTGAGAGAATCACAAAAGTTCACTGTATTCTTGGTAATCCATATGTTACGTCGAATTAAACGTATATAAAACTATAGATTCAGTTAAGATTAAAATCATGTAAAAATGAAATATCAAGAATATTAGAGCACTTAGGTGATTCTTTCTATAGCAGCTATTCAAAAGTTATTTTACTGTGTACTATAGAAAGGTCAGTATTAAAAACAGAATGAAATCAAAATATTTTTTCACAGGTACCAGAGCACAATGTAGGGAACCTAAAAGCATTTCCATTAACAGTATTAGTGTAAGATATACATATATACTGAATATGGTGTACTGACTGATACTCCATGTTGTCTGTGTAATTTCTCAAGCCAGATGCCTCGCCACATTGTACCCTAGCTATTATTTCCCTTTTATATTACATAGATGGGAATATATAACACAGTCATTGTACTTGATCGCTGTGTTTTTAGAGATTTTTGTGTAGATTGTGTATAGTATTGTTACATTGCCTTTGTGCCAAATGTGTCCTAGTTTTACAGTGAGAAAATCCTATATGTAAATCGACCATATAGTATTATATGTAATAGATAAATACCTTTATTTATACCCAGAGATTCTTATTGTTGATAAGTTATCTGCTGTCTTGATCCATTTGTAATGTATCCTTCTTCCTAGTTGGAAACTCTTCTGTATCATATCACAATGTTTTGAACAACATTGAATTATTTTAGTGTATTTGTGAACCAAAGAAGGGTCGAGTTACATTTATGAACATGCCCATAATTCTCCCTTATGGATGGATTCAGATGTTTGTATAAGAATACTTCACTTATCGCCCTTAACTTTAGTGCAATATATGTTGTGTAACTGTGCAATGTCATTGTGATTCACTGACTGAATGTTGTCTAGACACTCTGCTTTATGTGGGAGGCATGACCGGCAGTGCGGCCGCTACTGCCGGCGCTTAGTTCAGATAGAAAGCACAAAGCTAACCCACCTTTTATGCTACAGACATATGTCTGAATTATAATGTGTTTAGTGGAATATGCAACATTTTGTTTGTCTTAACACGCTCAATAGGCACACTTTTATGTTGAGAAAAACAACTCGGGATTATTTATCGTGAAGAGTTTAGCTTGAACAATAACATGCCCAGTGTTTGCTACTGTGATAAGATTTATTGAACAATTGTACATTCCTGAATTAGTGGGATGAAATATCCCTTGTTTAATTCTATGTAGGCACTTTAACTTCATGCCATCATTTGCAGAGTATTATTGTTGTATCCACAGCGCTAATAAAAACATGAGCTGTAAAACTTCTGTGGGCACATTTCTTTTTTACAGTTTGTAATAGGTCAAATATATGTGGCAATCTACAATGGAGAAGTAACGGTCTATGTGGTTAGGTGACGTTAGCTCTACTTACACTGCTATAGTGGAGAGATAAAAACAGAAATTGCCAAAAAAAAATAGGATTATTTTCCCCCAATCTTATTAAAACACACTATATAGAAAGTATTAGACTGAAAAGATTCCCCTTCTACACAAACTGGGGTTGAATGGTGAAGATGACACAATGCAGAAGTTAGCATGAAGCATTTTCATTACACCAGAAAGATAGTTAATGTTTTACATACTATATTGGCTATACATTAGCAAGTTTTGTAAGTCATTCAGAAAAATAAAGTTCATGATATCCTGCATGCTTGTTACTGAGGGGTAAGGTTAGAGCCCTTAATAACAAACTGAAATCCAAACAGCTCTTTTCACATGATGTGGGATTTGGCAGGGTTGGTGCTGCTCGAGCAATTTATGAAATATCAAGGTGATTAAACATTGGTTAAGTATGTTGTTTATGTGGTAAAGACGACCAGGGTTTCCAGGCCAACAAATACATCATTAGAGTAAACAGTCTCTCAGTCTCTTGGTCTGGCTGTTCATCAGTCACTGCCACAGAGAGGTTGAGTGTGAGAAAACTGTCTCCGACCTCTAGACTAATATATGCAAAGGAAGGTCTCCTATTTGGACAGAGCTTAACGATGTTGTAGAATGATTAATTCATCTTAGCCTGATGTTGTCTGTCTAAAACTAGTAGAAGATTTTGGGTAAATGTGCATATTTTCCTCCGTCTCTCTCTCTCTTTTTTTTTTCTGGTACATTTTTTCAATCCACCTGGCTGTCACCCATCGTTGGTCAGATTAATCACCCTGAAGGGACTTTTTATTGGCTGATCATCTCACAGCTGAGATTTCACGAGCACCGCCTGCCAATTCTCTCACTCCTCTCATTACTCACACTTTTAAGATATTTATCATAAAAGGCATTAGACTGTGCTCTCTTAACATTTTTTTTCCACTGCGCGTATTTGAAAGCTCTGCCTGGCTGCCTTTTATTTCGAAACAGCCGTGGAGGGGCTGTTTCTCTGGCTCTCTTCCCATTCTCTTCCCATCCTCCACCAGGGCAGACGCTGCTTCTTTGTTTCACGCTTCAGTGCAGCGATCATTACAGCCCGGGTGTCACTGGCTGCTGTGTAAAGTTACTGAGGATTAAAGGGATAACTACTCCTATAATGGGGTAATAGAAATAATAACCCCTGACTTCTTTCCATATCTAAATGCAGGGTGATTTTCTTTTTTCTTTGTAGCTCTGCATCATTGAGGGTGCCAAAGCGTAATGACATGGCTAATTTGGAAGCAGGTGTTGGAGAATCTTATAATGATTGAATGCTAATGAAACCAGGCCTTCAGCTCCTATAGTGGGTCACAGTCAAGTAATTCGCTACACATGGAGGAATGGCCACCCAGAGTAAGTATACAAATATCAGTCCGTCTGTTCAGTGAACATTTTTCAGAAGATTATCTATTTTTGGTATACAACGCTATATGAGGTTTGAAAGGAAAAGGTTTGCAACTGGTATAGACTACAGATTTGACATATAGCAGTATTTTAAAGGGTGTTCAGTTTAATCAGCAATCAGCAATCGCCATCAATTCTAATTACAAGCATAATTAAACTTTCATCAAGAGGAGATCAGCGGCAGTAAAATAATAAGGAGCAGTTTTGTTTTTGCAGCCTCTCTCCCTGGAGGGTGGGCAGAATGGCTCTGAACACCAGACTGTGAAACGCTTAATGTCTGTCTCTGCACTAGTCTGTTCACCCTCCATTTCACACCTGGCACACGCATGCACGCTTGCATGCACGCTTGCACGCACGCTTGCACGCACGCTTGCACGCACGCTTGCACGCACGCACGCACGCACGCACGCACGCACGCACGCACGCACGCACGCACACACACACACACACACACACACACACACACACACACACACACACTTTTTCTACTTTGTGATATTTTAACGTTGAGGCAAAGTTCTCTCTCCCCCCAATGGGTCGCTCTCCCATCTATCCTGTCTCAGCTGTGTTATTCCTCTCTCTTATATTTATCCACGGATCTCAGTCAGTGCTGTTTCCTGAAGTATCAAATATATCTCCCGCCCCTGGGAATCACTGCCACATTAGCTTCCTGATAGATACTGACGTTGGCATTGTGTAAGGCAAGTCTAATGAAATGACGATGATGATATTGACTGCGGGCTGCTTGTCAGCCCTTCCCCCCTCCTTTTCACCACACCATTAACATGCACATCATGCAGCTATAGCCACAATTTAGCCTGAAAACTATTTTGTAACCTTTTCTACCTTACAAACCACGCTTATATAATATAGGAGTCTTTCTACTCTTATATATTGATTTCAAGGTCAATAGTTACATGTTCTTGTGCTCTAAAAGGTGTTTTTATAACACTGCAATCTGCTCATGTTGTTCTTAAATTGAACATAAAGTGTAAGCCTGACATTAACAAACAGAATCAATTGTAACACCTTAATGCCTCTGACTTCTAAAGTAATAATAATGGTTTACACTTATCTAAATAGCCTCCTCTTATTGACTGTGTGTCCATGGCTTGATTAATCTTGGCAGGAAGTAAGTTTTAAGCAGGAGATAAATTATCCAGAGACTTTACCTCGCCCGTCTGCATGGATGAGGAGTGTAAACCAATAATGTGACGCTTGTTAAAGTTGAAGGCTGCTAGTAAATGTCTACTGCTGGACATTTTTCTAAAGGAATTAGCATGAGCCCAGGAGCAATTACACTGCCACTAACCAAGTGATTGCTATCATGCATGCTAAATGAACAAAACAACCTCCAAGCACAATAATATAGTGGTATAATGCTTTCACATGTGCTCTGCTGCGTTTCCTGTTTCCTCAATAAGAACTAGGCAACATGGTAAGGAGAGGAAACATGTGTTCAATATTGCTGATATTAAAATGATAAATAACAATAATAATGACATGATAGCTACTTATACTGGTGTTAGGCTTGCTGCCCTGTCATCGTTATGCAGGATTCTCTAATTTACTTAGCATTTTATCTCTGCCTCCCAGCACAACAGAGTACATCCACCCTTTCATCCTGCTGAATATCACCTCTTACAGACATTAGGAAACTAACGCTGACAATTACAGCTTATGATGTTTGTACCTTGGACTTTGCTTACGGTGTAAAAATGCAGTGTGTGGTCGGGACACACAAGGAAACCTATTATCAAATGATGGACGTTTTAATTTCTGGCCATGTCTTTGTTAATGTCTCCCTGTCCTCATCAGACTTGTTTCATACAGTTAATGTCTGGAGAGCAGCACAGTGCTTTGCAGCTTCAGCTGTAAATTCCTTGCAGGACTGGAGAAGTATAAATCTTAGAGAGCTATCCAGAACAGTGATCGCAGAGTTTTAAAGCGTCAGCAAGCTTCTGCTGAAATACAGAGTTTATTTATCTTCTTCTTGAAGGAGCAAGTGTCACCAAGCAAAGTTTATTTCTCACTGGTAGTAGATAAAAGATATGAAGATCTGCTCAACAACAATGAATGATGTAATTTTCAGTATTTGAATGGTATTGATATTAGGACTGCAACTATTGATTTGTTATTGAATTGTTTGGCAATCATTTGCTAATTTGTTCTATAAAACATCACAAAATAGTGAGAAGTGACTGTGGTAAGCTTTTAATCATTATTTTCAATTAAAAAAAAAATATATATATCAGAAAAAAGTAGAACATCCTCACATTAGATAAGCTAGAACCATTCAATGTTTACTTCTTCTAATGCTTGAAAAACGTACTTGAAATTATTAATTTATTATAAACAAACCATCCTGTTGTTGTCTTGTGAAGCTTAACATAAATAAGTGTTGCCACATTAACAACAGAGATAGATTACGTTGAATTTCGAAACTGTAACCAACTTGAAACTGGCATTTTTCAGGTTTTTAGACTGATTCTTTTGCTGCACCAAATCCGCATGCAGGTAAAAAATACTTTGCTTTTGGCGATATTCAGAGGTCAAAGTGTGAAATAAGAAACATGATTCTAAAGTGATTATGTGAATGTTAATGTTAGTTCACACCACAATGTCAAGAATAACATCTTCTTGTCAGGATTTTTCACAAAGATGCTCGGTGTCCTCTCTTGAAGTAAGGACACAGTTAAAGCTTTAAGGATCGTTCAGTGCAGCAAAGAGACAGCATCAAGGTGAGCTCTCGCAGATGCTAGACTGACAGGATAACTGATGTGATTGATGAGGAGAATCACAATGCTGGCCAAGTTTATTTCAAATTATTTGATAAGAGCTTCTGCACTACAGAGATATTCAACTACATATACATTAATCTACTCCTAGAGCCCATGTTCTTTATAGCACTGATGATATCCATTATTATCACCGCTTGATCAAGGAGACCATTTTATTCTCTCACATCTGCCCCGACTCACGTTTCTGTTCTGACTTGATTATACGAGCAAATCAGAAGCAGCTGGGATCTAAATATAAAATAAAATGCTTTAAAAAAAACCTGAGGTTTTCGGTGATGGCTCAGCTCTGTTAATGGTGATAAATGGTGACAGGATGTTAGTGGCTAAGAGGCTCATAACTCATCTTCCAGAAAATCTAAGGTAAGGGTCTTTATTACATCTCTGATTAATATTCGTTATACCCCGAACCTCATTCAAGCAGTTAAACTATAACATACCAGGCTATAAAAACTAAGAAGGAGGAAGAACAGTAAATGACTGCAGACACTGTCAATGTATTATCGCTTAAGTAAAAACACTACAAGATAACAATACTCCATTACACGTTACATCCAGTAAAGTATGTTTAATTAAAAAGTAGGCTATTAAACTTTTAAAAATGAAGAAAAGCACATTAAGACTGTTGAATTATTGATCCATTTTAAATTATTCTAATGAGCTTAT